CAGCGGGAGAAAAGGGGACAGCAAACGAGAGCTGCTGCTCCCGCCCAGCAGGCTGCCCTCGGAAGGGGCTGCCCAGATCCTGGCTGTGCCTAGAGGAGGCACAATTTGCCATTTATCTGCCAAGCAGATGCTGAGACCAGAGACTCCCAGCTGGGGAGGCTATTAGGGGCAAGGGCTCGAGGGCCAGAGTAAACCGCACGTGTTCTCCTGCCCAGCCCGGCCGCCACCTGCAGATCACTGGGGCTCCGGCCATGTGGCTGCCTGTGCTGCTGGGAGTCTTACTCTGGGCAGCCCTGTGGCTGCTCAGAGACCGGCAGAGCTTGCCCCCCAGCAATGCCTTCGTCTTCATCACCGGCTGTGACTCTGGCTTCGGGCGGCTCCTGGCACTGAGGCTGGACCAGAGAGGCTTCCGAGTCCTGGCCAGCTGCCTGACCCCCTCGGGGGCAGAGGACCTGCAGCGGGCTGCCTCCTCCCGCCTCCACACCACCCTGCTGGACGTCACCGACCCCCAGAGCACCCAGCGGGCAGCCAAATGGGTGGAAACATATGTTGGGGAAACAGGTGAGTCTGGCTGAGCCGCTGGGAACATGGTGTAGGGTGTTCACTCACATGGGCAGTGGGAACCAGGGGGACTGTGAGGGGAAGGAGGGCCTTGGAATGCCTGCCCTACCCTCCGTGACTCCCCCCACCCCCCCCCACAGGGCTTTTCGGTCTGGTGAATAATGCCGGTGTAACTGGTATCATTGGGCCCACACCATGGCTGACCAGGGATGACTTCCACCGGGTGCTGAATGTGAACACACTGGGTCCCATCGGGGTCACCCTTGCCCTGCTACCTTTACTGCAACGGGCCCGGGGCCGGGTGATCAACATCACCAGCGTCCTGGGTCGCCTGGCAGCCAATGGTGGGGGCTACTGTGTCTCCAAGTTTGGCCTGGAGGCCTTCTCAGACAGTCTGAGGTGAGTGGGCAGGGCCCCAGGCTCCCAGCCCAATCAAAAAAGAATTAGTGTCTGCCCTGCAAAGATTACTAAAACATGTAATGGAATACTTCAGAGGAGATATCTAGGGCTCGACTTCATAGCCCAGCCTCTCATGTGAGTTTTGTGACTGTAATAGGTTAATTTTCTTATCCCAGTTTATCCCTCATCTGTTAGATCAGGATGAGAAGACCAATGTCGTGGGTGTTGAGAGTGAAATGAGATACATGCAAAGCCCAACAGTACCTGGCACATAGAAAATGCCCCAAGCCCTAGCTGGTTGGCTCAGTGGATAGAGCGTGGGCCCGTGGACTGAAGGGTCCCAGGACAATTCCAGTCAAGGGCACATGCCTTGGTTGCAGGTTCCCCGGCCCTGGTCAGGGTTCATGCAGGAGGCAACCAATCGATGTATGTCTCTCACACTGATGATTCTCTCGGTCTCTCCCTCTCCTTTCCACTCTAAAAATCAATGGAAAAATATCCTCAGGTGAGGATTAACAAAAAAGAAAATACCTCCAAAGCCTGCTATCATTATTAGTATGATTAATAACTAGAGGCCTAGTGCACAGGTGGGGTCCCTTGGGGGGTGGGTCCCTCAGCCTAGCCTGCACCCACTTGCAGTTAAGGACCCCTCCTGGCCTGTCCCCAGTCCTAATCGGCCGGACCCCAGTACCAGTCAGAGCATCTGCCCTCTCGTGGTCAGTGCACATCATAACGACTGGTCCTACCAATTGATCTGACACTTAGCATATTAGGCTTTTATATAAAGAGATGATTATTACAATGAGCTAGTACCTTTACATGTTTTCGTATTAATTCTCATGGTAGGTATTAATACCCATAAAGTAACATAACTTATCCAAGACCACTGGAACTGTGCTCACCTACTGAGCCTGGTCATTCTGTTCTCCTGCCCCTCATCTTTAGATGGTAATGTTCAAAGTCCCATGAGAGCACAGTGAAGACTTGACAAGAACGACATGGGAGCAGGGCCTGAATTTTAAGATTTTTTTACATTTTTAGAGAGGAAAGGAGAAACATTGATGTGAGAGCGAAACATCTATCAATCGACTGCCTCCTGCACACTCCCTACCCAGGGTTGAGCCCACAACCCAGGCATGTGCTGAGTGGGAATCAAACCAGCAACCTTTTAGTGCACAGGACAGTGCTCCCACCACTGGCCAGGGCCAGGCCTGGATTCTGAGCAGAAGTACAAGTCCCCCAAGCCAAACCCACCTGAAGGAAACCTGCCTTTGTCACCATCACTCCACAAGTAATTTCAATATCAACTTTTTAAAAAAATGTGTTTTTATTTATTTTAGAGGAAGGGAGAGGGACAGAGAGAGAAACATCGACGAGAGAGACATTGATTGGCTGTCTCCCACACGCCCCTTCTCCCCCCACTGGCATGTGCCCTGACTGGGATTCAAACTGGGGACCTCTTGACTCATGGGTCAACACTCAACCACTGAGCCACACCGACCAGGTTCTACTTTTGTCCCTATCCATCTATCTTTTAATTTTCCAGTTGGCATCATGAAACACATACTTTATGCTTGGACTTCTGCATCTGTGCCGGGGTGGTTGGATGTATCCCCACTTTCCTCCCAGCAAGTACTAGTCTACACCTCCCTACCCAGCACTCAGGACTCCACCGTGTTTTGGGAGCTAGGGAATGGGGTTCTTCTAGGGCTGGAGTTGGCAAACCGTGGTTCTCAGGCCAGATCTGACCAGCTGCCTATAAGCCAATAAAGGTTTTTACATTTTTAAATGATTATATAAGTACCTACATAATATTTAGTCCTGCATTACAGAAAGTATTTACTATCTAGACCCAACCCCTGCTCTAGGTTGTAGAGGAGAATACACAGGAAAAAAACCTCCCTCTGTCCCCACTTGCCCCTCATCCCAGGGCAGCAGCGTATCCCTAAGGACCCCTGTCCCTGGTTTAATAACTTCCCATCACAGTCTCCCACCCATGTCCCTGAACATCTCCTCCCTATTAGGGCAAGAACCCAAAAACTTCCCTCTACCCCACTCTAGGCGGGATGTGGCTCCTTTTGGAGTACGAGTCTCCATCGTGGAGCCTGGCTTTTTCCGAACCTCTGTGACAAACCTGGAGAGTTTGGAGAACGCCCTGCAGGCCTGCTGGGCACGGCTGCCTCCAGCCACACAGGGACACTATGGGGATGCCTTCCTGACCAAGTGTGAGTACTGGGCCCATACGGGGGGAATGAAAGTGCCAGAAAGGTCAGCCCTGCACCAGCCTACCGGGAGAAAGTAGGAAGGGCAGTCAGGGAGTGGGTGAGGGTGAATGGGGTGCTTTAGGACACCCAGGCCATGTGGAGCCTGCCCATTCCCCTAACTGGGGACGGGATTAAGGATCCCTCTCACCTCTGCTGGGCAACAAGCCCCAGGACCCAGAAGAGGGCCTGAGATGGGCTGCAGTGGGACAGGGACACTGATTGCAACCACCCACTGGGCTGCAGACCTGGAAGTGCAGCAGCATGTCATGAACCTCATCTGTGACCCGGACCTGACCAAGGTGAGCAGGTGCCTGGAGCATGCCTTGACTGCTTGCCACCCCAGGACCCGCTACAGCCCAGGCTGGGACGCCAAGCTGCTCTGGCTGCCAGCCTCCTACCTGCCAGCCAGCCTGGTGGATGCTGTGCTCACCTGGGTCCTTCCCAAGCCTGCCCAGGCAGTTTCCTGAACCCAGCCTTCCAGCAAGATTGTTCTTCAAATGCAAGAACTTCATTCCTGTCCCCACCCTGCTACTGGCACAAAATAGGCACTCAATAAATGTGTTTTGTTTTTGTTTTTGTTTTTTAACTACAGGTTATCTTGTATATGAATTTGACAAGTTTTGGTTTGAAGAAAAGCCAGAAAGCATTATGTATTTCAACATATATAGAGAGAAGTTTCATGAAAAGATTAAAGGACTCTTACTGGATTATAATGTATCACTTACTTTAAAAATATGAATCATTCCTAGTATCTTCTATTTCTACCACATTTTGCACACACAACAGAATTTATATGTTGTAATAGAAATTATCTGATCAATTACACTACGTATATATAATTTCCTACAGAAATATTTCAGAACTTCTATTTCAGAAAGCTAGA